TTTAAAGGACTGTAGAGTTATAGTTATTTATATTTATTTTTCGAAACATTTTAGTAAAGGTTAATTTAACTATCATACGATATATATATATATCCCACGTGGGAGGCCAAAAACCAGATGGATAGATAGTATAAACAAAGATACGGCTGAGCTTCATGCCGCAAACTGGAAAGCAGTAGCCCAAAATAGGCAGAGGTGGAGAATGCTGGTATATACAAAATCTGTAGATCAACCAAATCAAAAAATAATAAAATAAAATATATATACATATTATATATATATATATATATATATATATATATTCCTGCCTGTCTTAGACATTTGGCGCCCACGGGCAATAAAGTCATGCCATTTTATTTATTACTTAAGCTGTTTTATATTAAGTAAGATTTCGATTTAAACTCATTCAATATGACTTTAATTCAGTTGCTTTCTTAATATGCTAAAATTATTTATTATCATACTCTATTTATTTAATTTTTTTTTAAATTCCTAACAAGTGGCGGAGCCTCCGGGAAATTATCTGGGTTGTCAGGCACTAAGGACTGATATATATATATATTCTTAAATGAAATCATCAGAAACAGTTCGAGTAGAGCCTATAAAACAAAAGTTGACTTTTTCTCCACTCTCTCATATGTAATATACAAATTACAGAAGTTCTGATGTTTTAATTCGTTTCTGTTTAATAGGCTTTATAAAATTATTCTTATATATATATATATATATATATATATAATAACAGGTAGCTTTTTAAGATTATTTTTTAAAAGAAAGTTAAAATTAAATATTTAATGAGAGTAAAACCTCAAAACAATAGACAAAATGACATCCATATGTGCCTGTTTTAGGTGAAAAATTTTTAATGTTATATAATAAGGCTCTGTTTATTTTTCACCATATTTATTTTAATTTTCATAGCTACGTTTTGGCCGATAAGACATTATAAAAAGATTTTCATATAAATCCAGAAGTCTGTTAAATAAAACCTAATATCCGTAAGCATGTCTATTTATCTGTTTTGGAAAGAAGTACTCTGTGCCTTTATTCAGTTAATATCTTTTTATATTGGTGATCTGAGATGCTTAGTCTAGAACTATCACAGGCGGATCTAGCGGGGGGGCTTTCGGGCTCCCTCCCGAAATGGTAAAATATAACTATGCTTTACAGAAAAAAATATTTAAAACTATCTCCTAAAGTATTCTTGTTTGTGTAATTACATTTAATAGGACTTCAAGAAGCACTTAAACACCATTTCATATAGGTAGTTAATTTCTTTCTTTTTTTTCAAGTTAATTATCGTTATATGTATACGAAAAAAAAAAATCTATGGAGCTGAAGCCCCCTCCAAAATTAAATCCTGGATCCGCTAGTGACAATTATGCTAAATTTATGTTATATTTATTTGGTTTTAGGTATTTAATGATATCTAAGAGATTTAGGACTCTGTTTTAGAATACTTTGGTACAGACCACCTTTTATCGAATTATTAACATCCGTCTGAAACTTTGTAAATAGCTTCACCTCACCGTAACCTAAAACTATTTTATTTACGAAAACTCTTGGAATTATGGTGTCTTCAATCTGGAGGGTGGCAAACTTTGTCTATTTAATTAGGTACTAAAAACTCGTAAATAACCATTTGCTTTCTACTTGGATCGTAATTTGATCACAAAATAGATAAAAAATGTGGCCTACAAAAATATTGGGTCATTTGTCCAATATAACCTCGTTATTTTGAAAATTTGGGAGTGTAGGTCAAGCCTAACGGTTCAATATTTTTGCAGGCCACATTTTTTTTTTCGATTTTATGATCAATGAACTTACGACCCAAGTAGAAATCAAATGGGTATTTAGAAGTTTTTAGTACCTAATTAAATAGACAAAGTTTGCCCAGATTGAAAACAAATTTTGCCAAACAAAGTTTGCCCAATTCCAAGAGTTTTCGTAAATAAAATAGTTACAGGTTACGATGAGATGAAACTATTTACAAAGTTTCAGGCGGATGTAAATAATTCGACAAAAAGGAGCCTGTACCACTGACTATGTATACAAATAATTAAAATAAATATATTTTTCAAAAAAAATTATTTAAAGACACAAAGTAGGTAAAAATTAATAGTAGCTTTGGGTAGTTAGAACTAGATCCAGAAAATTGAATTGCTTCGAAATTTTATATTGGGTCTTTTATTATTTAAGTAGCAACACAATTATCCTCTGTACTCCATTCAAAACCCGACATCTTAGGAGTAGAGAGGAGAAGAAATGAACACACGATTTAGACGTTCCTGATCTGAGGCACTTACAACAATAAATTTTCTTACTTTGTCTTCAATTGACATCTTTATTCCTTGTTGGTATTTTTGTAAAATTTATTGCGCCAGCTCCGGAGCCTAGCTGCAGTAAATCAACCATGAAGCAATAAAACTCCCTTGTGCAATCTTTGCCACAAAAAGGTAGGACATTAGTGAAAAGCCCGTACTTATTGGCGGATCAGAAGGACCGACTCTTCAAGTACCTTACTAATTTCAGGTAGCGATTTTTCACTGACTCGACTAATAAGGGTGCGGCTTCTGGTGATGTATGGTTTTGTCCTTTCAGGCTACCTGACCTATGTTTGTCTAGTCTGTATCTATTACCCGATCTGCCAGGTATCTTCTGGTCTATATATATATATATATATATAAAACCGGGTATGTCCGTAAATTTATACGGGAGGAGAAGAAGAAAACCTAAGAATCCCGATTGACAGTATTGGGATTATGTTACAGCTAACATTAACTAGTTCGATATACCCACAACAGTCATTCAGTTTTAATAGATTTAAATATTCATAAAAATTTCAATTATTTATTGATATCGAATGGATGATAGACAAGAAGTAATCAAATTACAGAGCGATGTCACTTTAGAATTAAAATAAAGGATGAGCATAAGTAAACAAATAAAATTATAGAAAAATAAAATTCAGTAGGTTTACATATTTGCAGTACTTGAAATCGATAATTTAAAAAATCAAATCTTATCAAAATTTCTATCTGAAACTTTTAAATATCATTTGATGATTTTTATCCAGAGCGATTTTTAGTTTTTATCATAAGTATTACAAATCATATCCTAATCATTATTTTTGAACAAAATTTTGAAAATTCAGAAATATAAATTGTTTTCGAATAATTTTTTTTACAGTTAAAAATCAGAAACATTAATTTTGTGTAACTCAATGATATATTTTAAGGCTGAAATAGTATGTGGATAATATTATTGTCAATTATTAGCAACAGAACATCGATATTTCCGAAATTCATTAGAAATTTTGGATTACAAAAAAAATATGGTAGTATATATAAGCACATATATATTGCAGGCTCCGCGTCCACAATTAAAGTAATTTCAAAAACATAATTAAATAATAATAACTTTTTTTAAATGTAAATTAATAACGTATAATAACATACATATTAATATTTCATATGCGTAAAAGGTGATTTTTATTTTCTGATCAAAATTTTACAAACGGAAGAAATAAATACAAATGGAAAATATTCTTGGAAAAGAACTTGCCTGAAGTATTGGATGACAATAAAAAAACACTATAAAAACACTTCCTAGAATAATCCATTTTGTCAGAAGGACATTTATTGTTATTTTTTTAGCTTAATGTTCGCTCATTTTTCAGCCCTTCAGTACGCTTTTGGTTTTGAAGTAGAAAAGATTTCAGAAATTGTATTAATTTCATTATTATTAAAATTTAATAAAATCTAGTATAAACGATCTAGGATCCTGTCAAAAATTAATATCTAGATATCAAATTATCCGTAAGTTGAAATTTTATGGGAACGTTGTCTTCTGTACGGCATGTGAAAAATTAATTGGATGTGATCAGAAATCATAGAACTGAGTGTTGTTTTTTTAGAAAGAGCATAAGTCACAAAAACATTTTTTTTTTTATTGATCTAGAAAATTAGTATCAACATTAATATTTCAACATTTGAGAATCACTAATACATAGTGCAAAGTATATCTAAAGTTTCCTAAAAATTCTAAAAGAATTTTATTTTCAATGTTACTTTTAATTCAGAAGTTTAACTCAAGATTTGATCAGATTTCCATGTATTAATATAATAAATCAAACGAACATGTTTGCGCATCTTTAGGTATTAATTACATAGTTTTATACATTTTGAGGTTTTCGCTGCACGTTGTCCAAATTTTTAGTAAGATCCGGTCCCTAGTCATGAATAATCACAAGATTGAAACTGAACTGTTGTTATTTAGGAGATTACGTTTTCTAAATGAGGTGATGATATGCCGACGCATGGTGCAGCTTTCCATATATTTACACTTGAAGTCAATGATATAAGACAAAAACTATTTTTTATTTTTTTATTTATTATTTTTTATAAGATATTTACAACTGTATAAAAAAAAAAAATACATCTAGTAAATTATTACATGGATATAATGACCTAAAACACACGTTGAGAAACCAACCTTTGGTAGAACTCTAATAAGGCCATCTTTTCAGACGCCTCGGAGGGTTACCAGGAATTGAATAGGAAGCAAGAGGGTTAGAAACAAGAGGGTTGGGATGATTATGAAGTTGATTATGGATAGATAGATATCTGGATTGGGCCAAATCAGAAACATAAGGAACATTAAGGTCATTGTGGATGATTTTATTTGTAACAAGAGCATTCTGGATTTTACGTAGGATTTTGGATTGAGATAGAAATTAAATTAAAAACCATCAAATTATAGGTCATGGTATTGACAGTGCGTATGCATATTTACACTTACTGGGCTTCACCTTCGATTTGATCTTTTATGGATATTTACTCAGCATTTAGAATTTTAACAATCAATCAGGGAAATAAATTAATTAATTAGAGAATATTAAGTTTTAGTTCGGAATTTTCTAAAAACACTTATAAGTAGATCTCTTCCGTCAGCTTGCACATCTTCACAACCCGACTAATTAGCTGGAATTTCCTCAACAGCTAGGAAGGATGAATACCCTCCGCTAACTGTAATCTCAGACAAAGGACCGAGAGGTGAGGATCCCGACAAATAACGGATCCTCTTCGGAGAGGAAGCTGCGCGGGGGGCGACCGCAAGGTACTGTTAGCTGCCTGGGGACAGCCTGCCTCCGGGGCGCTCTTTGATTGCATTAATTCCTTCAAAGCCTTACGTCTAATTGAAGGTTTGATCCAGCAATCTGCGCCAGCACCTGCTCCCCTCGCTGCCCGCAACAATAACTGTCCTTGTTTTGTCTTGAGGTGGAACACTGCGTCCGTGAGAACTGCCTGCCCACGAGGTAGGCGAATACCGTGCTTCTTTCTTTTACAAGCTCTATCCTCCAGAACCTGAGTAGAATCTGCAACCATCCAGAAAAGGACTACATGGCGCAAGTTGCGAAATCAAAATTTTTGAATGAGACAAATTTTGCAGGAGTTTTTTAGGGAACCATATTTTTGTGTTGTTCCAATTATCGGAGACTATTTCAACCTCTCAACAAATTTTCTAGTTATATTTTAGCTTGCACTGTTTTTAAGAGGATGCGATTGGTAGTGAGGAATGAGCCAACAATTTCGGGAGGGATGGGCACCCCTGGCCAATGAGAACAAAGAATGAACAGTGTTAGTAATGTAATAGCTGATTACAAACGATTAATATATCAATTCTATCAGACAGTATTGACAATTAAGTATTTTTATTTTTCAATTATAATTGTGAAAATCCAACAACATAGCTTTGTGTCACTAAAATCCATGTGAAAAACGACAATTCACACACCATTAGGACAAAAAAATAAATAAATAATCACACCACTCCATGGCATTAACTACTTAAATGTTTAGTTCATATAATTTATTTATATTTAGATGGAATTTATGGAACCTAGAAGAAATTGTTTTCACGAAGTAATGACGATTTACTCCTAATAATTTTTAATTGAAGAAAAATATAAAATAAAATACAAAAAATCTACTTACTATGTTATGCTAAGAGTTTATTATGGAATTTTATTTTGAATTATTTAATTATTTTAAACAATCAACTTTATGGCCATTTAGTTCCACATGTGTGGTTCTACATGAAATTTTATAAACCTATTTAAAAGGTATTTTTAAGTTTTAATCTAATAGTGTCCGGTCCAATATTGATAACGCCTGTAAGTACGTCGTGCGTCTTATCTATGTAATAATAAAACTAAATTGTATCGTTTCACTTCATACATCTATGAATAAGCAATCTACTGGTACTGATACTGATGGAAAGAAATAATCCGGCAGCTGCCCTATAGTAGTCGTTGGGCACAAACCATAATAAGAGTGTCAAGATTCATTTCTCGGTAGAGAATAAAATTTAACTGACGCAGTTGGGAATCGAACCTGTAACGTTCCGAACTGGTAATTCTGGGATTCTTAACCCCCCCCCCTCTCTCCCAACGTGCTGGGTCATCATGTCCTCCATGAATAATTTAAGATTGAAAATATGGCAACACTACAATTATCTGCCATTCTTCATGGGCAGTTATAAGGGTGTATATGAATTCTACGTTTACGGTTGTTTGGTCAGATTGTAATTTAGTGAAAGTTAAGACAAAAATAATTTGTCTCGAAATTTAACATTATGTTAGCTTCAGCTTCTTGAAGCTTATTAGCTTTAATTTTATAACTACAACTTACGTTACAAGTGTGTACAAAATAAATTACTGGTTCAACGAGGTCAAAAATAATCACATGTTATTAAAACCAAAATAATTGAAAATTCAAAGGATTCTGAGCTCTGTTATTGGAATTACTCAATTGAAAATTGGAAGGGAACTAAATTTGTGAATTGTTAAATGTAATTATAAGAACAGGGCATTGAAAATACTTATGCAACAACGAAACTTCGTTATTTTTCAAAATTGGGAATATTAGAAATATATCTGTTTTATTTCTTTTCTGTTTGTATAGTTTTTCAAACCTCGATTTCAAACTTTAATTATTTGAGTTTGATTACTTATTATTCCTAAATTTCTAGGACGATTTCTCCAAATCGAAATTTCGAGTTGTCAATAGTAGTTTAAAGGTGATGAAAATTATAAACCACACAATTACTAACCACATTTTTCCCTTTATAGCACTTATACATTTTAATATATATTATGAATTAATTTAAAGTTATACACAATATAAACATTCCAATAACTTCAAATTGAGAATTTATATTTATTTATATAGCAAACGCTTTAAGTTACTAACCGATTACAAACTCATTTTTATGACTATATTGAGGCCTTACGGAGTTAAGCTTTAGCTGAATCATCTAATTATTTTGAATCCAAACTAAAGTTTTTTAGGAAATTCTCAATACCCTTACTTTTTCAAAAATTAATTAATTCGTAATGATCTTAAAATTATATAGCTTTCAGAACTTGTTTTAAACGTTGTCGAGTCGGACCAAACTAGTTACATATCCTTCCATAATAAACTCCAGATATATACAATCCTAATAGTCTTCAATACTTCTTTAAGTTTGATTCCTGATAATCTTCCTAAACCTCTAAAAATAAAACATGACCCCCAAAATCTTCCCTTACAGAAATGTTATGGAAGTATCAATAGGTAATTTCTCTACGGGTCTGTGGCATGTCTTTATTATATTCTTCACATTCCTAATTTATTTATTTTTAGTTCTAATGTCGTTGTAAAATGTGGCAAAGTCCCTAAGCTTAGCGCTGATTCTATCGAAAGATTTCATCAATCGATTGAACCCAGCAGTATTGGACAGCTATTTATGCTGAGTTTAGGAGGTATCTCATTTTTGACACTCCAGGAAGGTTACAAAACACATTAAAAATAAAAAAAGTATCCAAGGAAATAACTTCGTACTGAATTATGGAATTCCTTAATAGAAATATGTTTACAAATCATTATGATCATAAATGTATAATCATTTGAAAAATAACAGCACTGAGGTTATAAAAGGTTTATGTCCAGCGGATCTATCGATCTTAAAAACTGATGAAATCGCTAAGCCATCGGTGATTCAATTGCTAAATAAACGAACCCCCTAAATTGATGATGAATTTCACAAGGGGAAAAAGGAAGCGTTGATAAAAATTGTATGAGGTCATACATAATTAGTTCCATTAGTTTATACCACTTATTAGGTGCAAACCTTATTCACTTATAGAACTTTAGTATATTTTATTTTATACTAGAGGGGTACACTCTGTCCCCCTGACGGCAGACCAACCCCCATTTTACTAATTATACAACTATTCATTTAATTCTTCTACTCGTTGCTCAAGTTATATAACTTTAATATATATTTATTCTGTAATTCAGATTGTATAATTTTTATGAAATGAAATAAACTAAACGAAACCACCGTTCAGAGAAATTTTTAATTTCTTTAAAAATCTATAATATACAGCACGCCTTATTGTCAATTATATATATATATATATATATATATATATATATATATATATATATATATATATATATATATATATATATTCAACTTGTCTAGCTTCATATAAGCCCGTCAATAATTTGAGTATTTCATTTCTAATATTTTCATTATATTGTGCTTCTTTTTCTATTTCATAATAATTATAATTATATCACAATATAATATAAATAATATTATATATAATATAATAACTAATATGTTGCATTCAAAAGAAAATGTCTAGATCGAAGAATAACTGCTGTCACCAAGATAATATCAAATTACCACCTATTGATGAATACAAATTTTTAGTCTAAACTCCTAATTTTGTATTAAGAGAGTAGGAGGTAACAGGAGCTTAACACATATAATTTGTAAAATAATCGCCTAATAAGTTGAGCTCCTACTTTCCTAAGACTAAAATACAATAAAATATGAACGTCACTAAAACATTTTTATATATAATAAAGAGATTTATCATTTATAGAACGAGACTGTAGTTACGTGACTTGAATAGGCTGATTGAGTTACAAGATTTCTAAAGCCTACCATCTGAGGTATATATAGGAGGGACAGCGGATTTCAAGAACTATAAAAAAAATATATATAGGCATATTCGGCAAAAAAATGTAGGAAATTTAGGTTTTATTTTTAAAGTGTCTTGTCTTTTTTTTTGGAATAGGAAGCGATAACAAAAGAAATATTTATTTTAAGTAATTAACAATTAGTTCACTGCAATTAAAGCTTATTAGACCAGAAAGTTTTTTTTTAAATTAGGTTGTCTGTAGTATAGTTGTAGGATAACAGAAATGATCGGGAATAATTTATGATTTTTTTAAAAAACATAATTTAGTTTAGCCGCACTAAAGTAAGAATTTAAGAAAGAAAAACTCTGTTTTCATTTGAAGTAAATTTTGTCAAGTTTGCACTGAAACAACTGCAAATTAGTCAAATAAACATTTCTTTAGTTATCGCTTCCTATTCAATAAAAAATCACGACTTACTTAAAAAAAAAACTCAAAACTTAAATTTCCTACTTCTCTGCCGAAAATAAGGTTAACGTTTATATGAATGTTTTTTAGCTCTTGTGGTCTTATATAAATATTTCCTTTTGCTTGCGGGAGACCCTGTATATATATATTGATAATAGTATTTTTTTCTGTTTTTTTTTTTTTCTGTTGGGAAAAATAAAATATCTATGGAGAAAAGAATAGCTGGGTTAACGGTCGTTCGGAGAAAATTACATGGTAATATTAAATTGTAAATTACTTCATGAAATCTAATTAACAAAAGAAACAGCTCGTTGTAACGAATTGATGGTGAAACATAACACAGCCAGATTAGGCATTAAGTTTTCTCCAGGGCCCATCACCGAGCAATTTCAAAAAATATTTCGGTTTAATCAAAATAGTCTTTAATAAACTTTTATACCCTTTTTACGCGCAATTTCATTTCGCACTTGCTTTGAACTAAGAATTTTCAGTTTATGTTGGTTAAGAATTAATATGCAATAACCCCAATATTGAACTAATACTGGGGTTGTAAAGAATATCCATGTTTAATTATTTTATCCACCATTCCTTTTTCCAGTGCAGCGATAGTAGTCTACCAATTTTATTCTCATTTCTTGCCAGGTTTAAAAACATAAAAAGGTCATTGATAACCTGAAGAAATATTTTTAAGATAAACAACTTTCTTTAGGTTATTCATACTTCATACTGTGAGAATTTTTCGTAATTAATTTATTTAATCCATATATTACTATTTTTTTTTATTAGACCCTTCTTAATCTCACAGCTTTTTATTATTCATTTACAACATTTTAACAATATTAAAAAATTATTATTTTTTAACGTTTCGGCTCCAAGAACCATTTTCAAAAACCTTTTTCTTTTAAAAAAACAAAACATGATTTCATAATCATATTAAAAACATAATTTCTAAAAAAATATATGTATACTACTACTGTATATGTATATATATATATATATATATATATATATATATATATATATAATACTACTCATGGCAGTCCTTGTTTTATTAAATATAATAAAATGTTTTGTTTTATTCTTATTTGTCTTCCGAAAGCCCCTAAAATTTCACTTCTTTTCCTCATTTTATCTAAAACTTGATGCTGTAATTTAACAACTCCTTTTTAATGCAATAAACAAATTTATTTAAAAAATTGTTAAAACAAATTTTTTTAAAAAATAAAAACGCTGTTTCATTTTACAAATATGTTTTGGGGCAAAATTTATTTCATTACTGAAAATACGTGACAAGAACCAAACCTAAAAATAAGAAATTTAAACTTTTTACTTTTGTTTAATTCTTATTTATTTAAGAGATTTTTAGAAATATTTTTACTAATATGACTAGTGTTTTGTTTAAAAAAAAAAAATAATTTTTGGAAATGGCTCTTGTAGGCGAAACGTTAAAAAATAATATTGTTTAAATATTGTAAAACTGTTGTAAATTTATAATAAAATACTATGAGATTAAAAAGGGTTTCTATAAAATAATATATAGATTAAATATAATAAAAGAAATATTTTTAGTTGCGGTTATTAAAAATAAAAATTCATGTTTTCATTCATAATGTCCTTATTTCTCACCTGCATTGTTTTCCTAATGCTACAATATAAAGAAAATATTGTTATCGCATGAAATTTGTATGAGCTGTAATGGTATCCATGTGTATTATGGTAACCAGTAATTGGAACTGATTTCTATGGAAACCCGTATAGAACAACTTTTTCTTTTTTTTTCGAAATTTGGAATGTATAAAATAAATATAAATGAATATAAAGCTCTCGGAATACTTAAGATTTGAAAGATAATTTTTAAATTGCTGGCAAATTATATATGTATAGTCTTTCAAATTTTGTCTGAATTTTGTAGGAAATTGTGTATGTGAACGTACTAGACATTTTATAAATATTAATTTTATTTCAAGATGAGTATTTAATACTAATATCAAGACATTTCTAGGAAAAGGGGCATTAAGTTTGGAAATTTCAGCACTAAAAAGAAAAAGAAACTATAACAAAATATTACTATTAGATACTGTAAACACCTTGCTCATAACTCATAAATTACTATAAACTGTGACTCATTTCAGGTGGTTGAGAGATTTTAAAGCGATCCCAGAAAAACAATACAAACATACCTGAAATACCGAACGATCAGCATTTTAAGTCTATTTAATTGTGATCAATTTCAGGATGTGCAATCGACAATAATTTTTGTTCGGTTTTTATGACAGTTTATGCAATCTGACATTCATCCTCGTGATTGTTGTCAACAATGGAAAACTTGAGACAATGGGTACTGTTCAGAACTAGAAGTTCCCAAGAATTGCTCTGTGACCAAGAATACTAGTATTGTTTGAGATTTATAACGTTTCTTAAGAAAGTTTGATTGCATAGTCTAAGCTACCATACCAGAGAAACTTCACTTTATTGTGATTTTTATTGTCACTAGATGTACTAAATTCCTATTGTGAAACTTCTGCAATTTAAAAAAAGTATAAATATATAAAGGAAATTCATTTTCGTTAAATTATTATTCATACTGAAATTAACAGTTAAGCCCTATTAATTTGAAGTTCTGATAAAATAAAAAAAATAAATATAAAAATAAAGTATAAATTATTGAACATTAATTTACTAATGTTAAGTCAAAAATTCAAAATAAGTTATAGCAAATAATACATAATAATTAATAAATCATAAGTTAATACTGAAACCCTTTACCTAAATCTCATAGAATAATTTTTTTTTATTATTTAGCATTTATTAAATTACATTTTAAAAAAGGAATTGGCAATGTTGGCTTTTTAAAAATATTCAAATGCGGTCTAGCAATAAATTGATATTACTCTATTGAAAGAGTTGTGCAATAATTTAAAAAAAAATCCATTCAAAAAGCTGGCGGAATAGCGTTCTATCATGGTCATACAGTCAAATCGGTAGAAATATTTAATTTTCTTAATTTCTGTTAAATAATTATTAACAACCTACTTAAAAACAATTCCATATTCAGGATGTAGGTATATTTCTGTAATCTTGAATAATTTGCACTCACCGATGAATGACTCAGTGAGATGAAAAAATTAATAAATGAATTTCGATTAATTACTTTGTATTATGTAACATATTAATTATTTAAAAAATATAATATAAAAAAATTTCCCCCCAAAAAATACAATTTTAATAGAGTTATTCTAGTGATGAAATACTCCAGTACTTCTGACACATATACATCACTTCTCCAACTTTCTTAAGTCTTGTGCTTTCTTCCATGAGGAAGTTAAGTTGTAAGTTAAAACTTGGAGGGATCGATCGCTGTTCGTGAACTATTCCAGAAGCTGAGGAAGCTTCATTAGCATTTTATGGACGAACTTGGAAAGTTCATCTTCGCAACAGCTGTTTAACGGTGCCTTATCTATACTGAGTAATACCTAGTAGACAGCAGGCAACATGTAGCCTGGTTAACCTTAGTTTGAGATAGGATATTGTAATCTATGAACCAGGTTTAGTTGACCTCTTTATTTACTGTTTATTAAAAAGATTTTAATATTCTCTAATCGGTTCTATGAGTTTAATTTCAATAGTTCAAACAATCTTTTTGTTGGATGGTAACAGAATTTAGAAAAAAAAAACATAAGATTTCGCTATATATATATCTCAGAATTAGGAAATAATAATTTTTTTTTTTATAAGATACACATAGTTCTGACAAGATAAATTTTCGACTGTATTAAGCAAATATTATATCGGGGAATACAGATGCTATCAAGGAAGGCAGATCAAAGAAAAAAAAAACAAGCTAGAAGGAATAAAGTAAAAAGTAACATATCCACTGTATTGAAAAGGATTCATGAAAGTTCTGCATCTACTGACTTGTCCCGGACTGAAGGACAATAGAAACAAAACCAGGACAGAAGGTGAATTTTACTGACATTCTAGACGAAGATGGCCGAAAGAGCTCAAGACGGTCAAGGCATAGGATAAAAAAAAAAAGAAAAGAACTAAAAAGGAAAAATAAAATAACATAAACACGCAAAAGCATAACACAGCAAGTAGCTCTAAGTAGTCTCTTGCCTAGCACCGTAGCTATTTTCTGGGCGGTTCAAATGGATTCGTGGCAGCTTGAATTAGTCGATTTGAATTTAGAATCAGGATGTCATAAAAACTATTAAAACGGTTGCTGTCAGTATGTAACGCTAGATTAGAAAATTAAAAACGTCTCTAATTTTCGGAAGAACTTTTGACTGGAACGATTAATTTCTTTTTATGCTCTCTTTGCTGTGCCCAATATCTCGGTACCACGTGTCCGAAGTCGTTTAATGAGGACTTTGTAGATAGTTAATTTAAAAATAAATAATAAAATATGGTTTTATTCCAATAACGTAACTTAGGCAGAATGGCGATCCACATTAATTGATTAAAAACTATCTAATGCCGTCTAAATAGACAGCGTACGTTGATTATGAAATAAAAGCGATAATTGTATGGAGCATTAGTCACTCCTTGCAATTCAATATGGTAATTAAGAAATTTTCTTAATAACGAAATTCCAATATTGTACGAGAGTCTGAATTATTCAATGTAACACAAAAATACAAAACAATTAGTCATTCGTTTTTATTTTAAGTCAACGTTCGAATTAACTATATAACAATCTTTGGGTCCATAACATATACAGGAGAAATATTAAAAAAAAAAAAGTGGAGAATAATTATTCTCTTTAAAATTTTGAAGATTAATTTATCAGAGAAAATTACAACTGTATTGAACATGAAAATACAACAAGTACGAGTGATCTATCGTTTGCACGACATAAGAGAAGCTACAAATTCGTTAGCTCTCTGAAAATAAATTATTTATTTATTCTTATATTTTGATGAATATACAAGGTTTAAAAAGCTGATAAATAATATTAGCAAATATACACGTAGGATGCAAAGTGCCCTAGCGAGCAGATACATGTACAAAAAACGCGTTGCCCGACAACATGATAAATTCAAGATTACGAGTTCGAGTCCCGAGTGAGGGCTTTTAACTCGGGCCTTGATCCTCCACCCTGTCCCACGAATGGGGGTGGGGATGTATATTCGAAAAGGCAACCAAGATATGGGAGGTAGAGAGTAAAGTATATGTCCCCGAGCTATCATATTCCTCCGGTTTTTAATTTAGAAAGATTTATCTATATACTGTGGTGGCTATTGCCAATTACAATGCAAACTATTGCATATTATCTAATTCTATTATATTATTACATCATTATCAAAAAAGGTGATGAAATGGTGGAAATGGTACTCACCTTGCTGGTTGCTCTTCCTGGCAGTCTTCTTCTCCTTCATCCAGGGGTACTCCTGCACGGACTGCTGGGGGTCGATCTGCTGGGGGTAGGGCCCAGGACTAGGCTCGCCGCCGGTGATATGGTGCGGGAGGATGAACTCGGCCATGGAGGGCTGGCTGGAGATGAAGCCGGACTCGGGTATCATGTCCATCCCCGAGGCGGCGTTCACCGCCGACATCCAGAACCCCCCGCCGTCGCCGGCCCTCCGGTACTCTTCCTCTTCCTCCTCCTCCTCCCCGCCCTCCACGTCTTCGATCTGCTGCTTTCCACGCATGTCGCACATCGGCTCCTTCACATCGACAGCGGCGGGTCACTGGGGCCTTTCCACTTTAGTTTATAGCAATATCCGGCTTTTCATCTGTAACAAAAGGAACAAACATGAATTCTCTAAGCAAGACCAATATGAAAATCCAACTCTTAAGGCTCATGCACCAAAGAATCCCGTATCGCCGCGGATAACCGCTCTCTATGTGACAGTGATATTGGAATAGAATGTAAACCCTATACCACCGCGGACATCAATATCATATCGGCGGAACATATCGCGGTCACCGTTCATGAGCCTTTCTTCGTCATTGTTATAAGTTTGAAACATGTATGTAAGTATGTGAGACTTTAAATATATATATAAATACAATATTGTAAATATTTGAAAGATTTATTTTCGCTAGTTTGATGAACATAATTGTATTCTCCTCTCCATTTTTTTAAATAATTAAATTTAAGATTTTCAATGCTATTTAAAAAAAAAATATTGTTATTGATTATTTTTTCTTAGTACTGAAAATTAAAAAATATTTTTTTTATAGATACGTTCATAAATATTAATGTTATTTATTTATTATTTTTTGTATATTTACAAGCATTCAATTATGATTTTGACTCCGCTTTTCAAAGTTAGCCACAAAAAAAAAAAATAGATAGTCAAACGGAAACGTAACAGTTGAAATATATTTTATAATGATTTGTACAGGAAAACCGATGGGAGAAATTACAGTGATTTGACAGCTTATTAAAATATCTACTATCATTATGTATTTAAAATATATATCTATATCACAACTAGTTAACAAAATATTATTCTATTGCCGATAACATAACAGCGTAGGATTAACTTTACCTGTTATATTATTACTATTACTGCATTTATTTATGAAAGTATTGGAATAATATCCAACATTATGCATAGAGCAAACTACCCTATCCACAAAACAATTCAAAATTTAAATTTTATGCTAAAATCTTTGATTGAGAAACTACTAAACTAAGTACAGCTGTTATGACAAGTTTTACTATGAAAATGTAGAGGTCCGTTCAAGTTTAAGACGAGATTTCATTTATCATTTTATGTCATTCGGCATTCGAATATGTAATATAAGAAAGGTAATTTTTACAAAAGTAAATTTAATTTTGTGAATTGATGTACCGGTACTTAAAATACCGATAAGTCGATTGCATGTACAGAAAGTATTTCATTAAATACAAGAACACTGATGGACACGAGCTCATAATCACTTCAAAAAATGCTTCCTTAGACACACCAATGGTTCAAAATGTTTTTTTCACACTTAGGAGGGTTTGAAATGCTCAGTTAGTGACAGGAAAGTACTATGACATGAGTACAATTTTATAGAGAACTTAATTACATTTAAAATGATTTACGTAAAATGTACAGGGTTAGAGTTATGCCGATTGGGGTTAACGGCATCGAACCTTCGGGTTCGCTTAACCTTTTGTTATTATTATTAGGTTACAATAGTAAAAATTGCAACTAATCAGTCTTGGTTTTTCCTCTTGGTGAGCATTTATTCGCTTCCATGAATCATTATTTACAGTTATGCCCAAACAAAACTTTATTTTCTCCATAACTATATTTCTAATTTTTTTCAGGGATGCACTGTATAAAAAACAAAAAAACAAAAACAAATTTAATTCGAAGAATATGGGAAAGTTTCTTTAAAGTCGTTAGAGACATTCTTGCGCAACAAAGTATGGCAAACAAGTTTTCTCTAAACGTACACAGGTTACCAGATTTGTTATCCAGGCATCGGTGACTGACGTAAAAAAAAAAAAAAAAAAATGAAGCAACAAAATGATACGAAGCCAAAAGCCCAAAATGCGGTTTTTGTATAAAGAGAATTCTTGACTTAAATATACAGTTCCGTTGAAAACCAAACATATGCTTCCTTTACCTAATAGCACCAGAAAATTAGAAATATACTTCATAACGTGTTTATGGAACGAAGCCTACGTAAAAAACAAAAAGATGTGGGTGTTAAAGATTTGAAAATAAAAACATAAAATCATGTTGAATAATTTGTTGAGAATCTTTTTGTTATATAGATGATAAATTAAAAATAATAACAGAATGGGAACTAACATATTGTTAACCAGACCTATTTGTTATAAGCACGTATTTAATATTCTCCAGGCAGACCACGGTGATTGAGCTTTTAAAAGACTGAATGGTTTCCCTGGATAATTACCTGTAGAGAACCATTATAACTGAGACCTGTTAGGAATAGTACACCTTCGTACCGCTCAACTGCCAGCCAGCCTTCATACTAGTAATATTTAAGCTTGTAATTTTTTTATTTTTAAAGAATTTATCAAAATTAAAAAAAAAAATACCTTATCCTTAATTGTGACAGATTGTAATATCTCTCAATAAATATTTAAAAAAAATAATTGAATCGTTTATTTTATAACGATACTTAAGAGCTCAAAATCACCTATTTTTCGAGAAAGTGATTCTCTGAAGGTAAATAATGATCGTAAAAACAAAGAAAATTTATATGTATATACATTAGTGACAAAGTAAGTTAAATGTTTCCCTAATTATGGAAAAGTATAAGCCCCGAATTTGTGATGTTTCTATAATGAACCAAGAAGGCAGCAGAATTGTAATTTTATACCTAAAAATATTTTTTTAAAAAACGTAAAAGAAATAACCTAAATCCAAACAAGTTGACTATTAAAAAGAAAAATTTGAGTTCTACCAATGGGTAGCTTCTCTTCATGTTGTACATGTCAAGTTACCAATTTCACATTTACTTATTGTATTTTCTATGTAATACAGTTAATAACACAGTTGTAAATAACACAGTTGTAAATTCCATTAAAATAATAAAAAAAAAAAAAAAAAATGCTTTCTTGTGAAAAAACAAAAACAAGTATGTGGCCATATTAATATGTTTCTGACAAGATAAATCAGAAAAATTGATTGAAAACGCAATATCACTGAAAACAAAACAATCTTTAAAAATATATTGTATCTAAATACGAATCAGATGTATCTAACCAATGTATTTTAGAATAATAACCAAATATCCCCACATATATATCATTACAGTAAGGCTCGAAATCGGTTTTGTACCAAATATAAGTTCCTGTCATGCTCAAATACCATGAATGGGGTACCGTTGGATTCAAAATTTCACGGGGGGTTAGCGAATCGTATTCTCCGCTTTTGTTTTTCTTTCTAAAATAAATAAAGTCGATACAAACATTTTGCTAATCTTCAATACTGGAACGGTGGTAGGTCTGTAGATCGATGCGGGACAAATTGGACCTTGAAGATTTTGATGCGTACAGCAATATATCCTCCGAAACTATCGGATCCTGCGTTTTTAAGCCCAAAAACGTACTATTTTCGAGATAACGCAAGGCATGGGGTTCGCATCCACATAACCTGACGTTAATTGTAGTACTGTCATTGGATACATGTCTCATTTCGTCGACTTGAGGTCTCTATGATCGAAACAGGAGGAGTTTATATTATTTATCGATCGTGTTTTTGATCGGCAAGCCATATCATCGTTAATTCTTCATCAAATCTCAAGATTGAGCCACCGATTTCGAAGGATTCCTTCTCCTTGGCGGGCAAAATAGTCCAATCACTCCGAAAATTCAGGCAAACAAGTTATGAAAGAAAAGAAACTTTATTTGCGAATAACTAAAAAATTACACATTTTTCCCTTAGTTATTCCCATGATTATATAAAACATTACTAAAGTGTCTACAAAAGGAAAAAAAATCTTTCGCAGAGATACAGCCTATCGAAATTTGTAAATATGTTGGATCCTACCAAAAATGAAGATTTAAATTAATTTTGTTTCCTTTGTCGATTATATTTATCGATAAAGTAACAATTGATTACTTTATACTTTGATCCGTTGCTTTGTTTTATTTTCTTATTAATTTGGCATTTGATAACAATATGCTGTGCGAATTTTTCACACGGGCCTACTAGTATCTAAATAAATACAAGAAAAAATAGATATAGTAATAACGAAATTGAGATCTTGAGAAATGATATTTGTAAAATGCAGAATCATTTCAATGATTAATAGGATTTGTATTTTTTTTGTTCAGACAAATTCTGGATTTATTATGGCATAATTGATAAATTAAAAACTTATAAAATTTGGGAACTGTTTTAATTAAAATTTCTAGATATCTGTTTGTGGAAATTAATCCGATGGCACGCTTCATTAAAAAAGTAGATACCATTCAACTTTGTTAGTTAACTTAAAAAAAAAAAATCAACAAATATATCTAAGCTTCATATCAACGCAATAATAGAAAATATAATTAATTCAACTCTATTTTCAACTAATGATAATTAATTCAACTACCTATTCTTTATTCAATAAATTTATTAAGTCGATTTAATAATTATAGTTCTAATGTAACTGCAAAAGATGGTATATAACAATTTTCCATGTTAATTCTATTTGTGCTAAACGTGACATTTTTTTTGCCAAATATTTCAAGATAAATTTTTCATTGCGATCCAATGCCCTGGATGAGAAAGAAAACTATGTTTTCTCAACTTTTGAAGAGGTTAAATCCGGATTGACGGGAATTACAATGAAAGAGCTAAAAACTTAGGTGAGACTAAACTTTCATTTTATAAAAAAAAAAACTGGTTTGTCCACTCACACGACTTTCCTACCTATTTCAGAAAATTATTTATATATTTACATACGTCCATTGATAAAATAAAGCAATGTAAACCGGCGGATCAAAAAATCTTTTCCGTAGCTTAATTTTGTCAAACAATAATTTCTGTTAAAAGTAGCGGAACTTCACTATTTCCGCTACTTGTGTGATGTGGCCAACAGATTTTCTTACTTTCACTTATTTTTTTCTGTTATTCAACCTTTTCTGACACCAGGATATAAACCCGTAATTTTACATTGGAAATTGAAGAGCTATAACTTCGTTAATAGTTGCCCGAAATGAACGATTTTTATATAGTTTTGCAGGAAA